CTACTTGGCATCGTACTACTTAGTTCCACAGTACTTCATTCAATACATTATCTCTCATCTAATGTCTTATGAACCGTGCAAATCATCGCTAACTCGTTATCTTGCTTTATCTGATAAACTGATTTTTCGGATAAAATAACCATGGATATTTTTATTCATGTAATAAGAAAAATATATATTTGGTATTAAATATTTAATCTGTATTTAACTTATGAATATCGTCAAATTTTGATAACATGCATTCATCGATAATTTCGCTTTTGATACAAACCAATTTATGTACAATAAAGGAACTTATATAAAGCATTTTTTTTTAATTTATTCAAAATAAATCTAACATAACTTCTGATCTATAATTATGAAAGGCATATATACGACTATTAATACTTAAAATAATATGACTACATGATAGGTTTCAAAGTTACTGCAATTGAATGAAGGATGGCTGCAAAGATAAAATTAGTTTTTAATGTTAATTTTTTTGTGTAAATTTTGTGACCAATTCACGTTGATATGAAAAACCTGTATATTGTTTTGAAATATCAAGGATTAAGTTAAAATTAGTGAGACCTGAATTTTTTAGAATATTATAAATTTGTTTCAAAGATGATTAACTATGTTCAATTTAAATTTAAATATTATGGTTTTAAGATATCGTTGTTGTATAAATCATCGTCAGTTTTCTATTAATTATATTATAAGCCATGATTGCACATTATATTATTTATTTATGAATGAAATTTGATAATCATGTTCTAAAAATTACATACTCAAATCTGCGATCATTAAGTGATTTAGATCTGTATTTATAAAAAAAAAATAGTCAAAAAGTGGGTAAGTGGATGTTACTCTGCTGTACAGTGGGTCACATGCAGTAATAGATATTATTATAATTGAATTCAATGATAATATATCATTGTATACGAAAAAGGATTCTGAGTGGAGATGGTTTTTCAATCTAGGATATTTCAACTAAATAATTAATCATTTTAAACTTAATAAATATTGTCAAAATATAAACTTAAAACATTTATAAATAAAAATGTGCCTATGAATTTTCAATATTTTCTAACTGCTATTTTATTAACTAATGGGGAACCCTGTATTAGATTGATAAAGTTTTTGACTCAACTAATACGATTTAATGTATGGTTGTAAATTTAAAGTTTTTACAGTGAATTACAACAAAATAAGAATATCGATACAAGAGAAATCGAGTGAATATTCAATATTATTGAAATTTGAAATTTAAATGCTCATAAAAATTTAATTCAACTTTCTGATAGACATTTTTTATTTGATGAAAGTAGACAAAACTTTGTATTGAATTTTCAAATTTTAGATTTAAATAGATATATTTTTATGAATTTCTAACTCAAAATAATTTGCACATGATTTTTATGTATTTTGTCAAAATCCAAACTTTAAATGCTTACAAAGAAAAATATATGAAATATATTTTTAAACTACCAATATAAGAATATATTAGAATCCTTTTATTAAATGTTCGAACTAATTTAACTMATGAATACAATTTTATTTAAAACAATGAAAACGAAAGTGCCCGTTAATAGCTTAAAAAGTCAAAATATTTTGAAAATTGTTGAAAGATTTTACGTAGAAATTCCTGGTTTTCCTTAATTTTGTTTTTGTTCTAATCGAATCTTTAAAATTATTGGGAATTTTAATTTTTATCTCTTCAATGCACCAACTAGATTCACTTTCCAACCGGATATACTACTGAAGTTAAAAATCAATACATTTTTATTTTAAATACTTATCATGTACACAAACACAAAAATAAATAAATAAATAAACACACATATCATTGTAAAATCAATAAATTCATCGCTTTTTTCAGAATCCAAAATATTCTTAAATTAATTATGTTAAAATTATATATTTAAGTAAAGTTATAAAAAAAAATAGAAACGTTTCAGAGTCATAATTGTTTTTTATTAAAATACCACTCTGTATAACATATAATATAAATACAATTTTTAATTTCAACATAAAAATGTTCGTAAATAAACACAGGTTACTTTTGTACATTATGTTATTATAATCAGTGTATTTGTATAACAATTTAATTAGATAAAGTAATAAACACGCGCGAGTATCTGTCATTGCTTGGTCCAACGCTTTACATTAATTTTTACATAATTTAAACATATTGATTCAAATTGGTTGACAACTAATATATTGTTTAATTACTGAATGGTATTAAAAAGGGTTATCGTTTCCAGAAAAAAAATGTATGTCATCATATACAACCTACCTGAACATAATATATACTGATGTACACGTAAACAATTAATTTTTATTAAAAATCCAACCCTAATAATYCTAAAAAAAAAAATAACGAGTGAAACGTACATACATATTTTTGGAATACAGCAAAACAAAATATTAATCTATTTAAGATAAAAAGTACCTATTGCAGACATTGCGCTAATACCATAAGATTATAGTTATTTACCATGCTTTATTGGACAGTATTATAGTGATACAATTTTTAATCAAAATAACTCTATGATGCAAATGAATTTGGTATATTATACAAAATCTTCATAACCCATAAAATAAATAATAATTAGTTTAATTTTAGATTGAAGAATAACTGTTTTTATTCATCTAATTCTTAACCCTATTTAAATATAATTGTATCCTATGTATAATATACTTCATAGAATATTCAAAATTTATTTCTGTAATATACTATGTAACCATGATTTTTTAATTCTATTGTGAAACTATCGTGTATAAAGAACTTTATTTTATAACAATATAAATAACTTTTTCAAATAATTTAATAATTAAAGTGCCTAATAAATAATAATATATTTTTTTAAATAAGACAGGTAATTCGATCTATAATGAGTAATGAATAAACCACATTAGATTAATGAGTGTAAAGTTAGAAGTAAAGGTCTCTCTATAAATTATAATAAAAATAACAGTGATTGTGTTGGACATTCGCCACGAATGCCTTCATATTTAAAAATAATGAAAAATAATTACATACCTTAAATCAGCTCTTAATAAAACCTAAAAACAAAACAATTAACATTTTGTTAAAGATGTTTTTGTTAGAGTCAACCTAATTTTACATAGGTTTTATTTTAATTTTAATTTTTTTTCTCGCCTATTCTCTATCATCTGCGGGATTTARTGAAATAAAGAAAATTTATAAAATTTTGAAATTTATAAAACTTCATTCAACCTTAATTTTTTTTAGAAAATATTTAAAGTATTGCAATTCATTTTTAATCTTTATAACCAAATGTTTTTTACAGGAAACTTTGTATTTAAAAAGTCTAACATATTTTTAAAAACTGCATAATAATATGTTATGAACATAATATTAAGGCTTGGCRCATGCAGCTCATAGTCTATAATTAATCTAGAATATTATTTTCAAAACACTACCGGGATATCGGATAAAATGTAATTATAATAAACTTCATATTACAATAAATATTCACTTTTACATATGCCACCATTAGTCTATATATTTGGTTTCAATGACAATAGAATGAACTTTCCTTATATTTTATCAGTAGCTCGTTTAATTTTCAAAATCTTACAAAATGTCCATGCCTTTGAAGTGCATTTTCAGTTAGAAAATAGCTCGATATATATTGCGATGATTAATTTAACGACCGTACTTTATCAACGTACCATTTTCTATTTGATATAATTCTACAAGAACTTAAGACATTCTTAAACATAGAATTCAAAAATAATTCAATTCACACTGGAATTTAAAACAACTTGAAACTTATTGATTGTCTATTATAATTTATTATTGCATAATATTCACGATCAATTCTAGACTGATTCAAATATTAAATTATCTACAGTTAATTTATTATTTAATATTTGTATAATAATTTTAGTATTATTGTTAAAATACCAAGATAGAAGAATAAAATACCGTATCAAAAGAATAAAATTATTTTAAACAATATGCTGTAACCAATATTAAGTAAGTAATCTTGTTTCAAACTGTACATAATGTTCGAACTTTATTCAATTGATATCTCGTATTCTGCAATTCAATTAACCAGTAATCAACCATTAATAGCCATTAAATATCACGCACAATAAATTATGTTTATTTGTCAATTTACAAATAAAATATGAACTCCGACGGTCTGACGTTGGATAAGTTTTTGTGATTCCAATTTACTTAAAATATAAACAAAATAAACTGTGTTACATATTATTATGTAATATATYCTGTGGATTGAGATTAATGGTGTGCCTTTCAAAAAACTGAACATTGAAAAGCGTGTTAACCTGTTTTGAAAACACAAATAATTCATGACACAATATTATCTTAAAAGCATTGCATTGACTTTGATGTATTTTTAAAATATTAAATAAGGATTTATTTCTATGCGTCATTTTATATCAATTGTATTCAAAATCGTTTATGAATGTGTAATAAGTATTGAATCCATAGTTAAAAATGTATCAATATACTTTGTAATATATTATTCACCTAACTGTAATATATATAAAAATGTATAGATACAATTATTATTTACTTTTGCTTCAATTGTTGCATTTTTTTTTTGAATAATAATAATATTTTTGAACACATGCAACTATGTAAGTTTATCTATATATTGTTATACCAGACCTAATAATATTTTACTCCTATACATTTATTGTTATTTAACATTAATAACTATCATATCTGTGGATAATATCAAGATTCATCACGACAATCAACATATAAACTATTAAATATATGCGTAAAATAATTGAACAGATTTTTGTCTGAAAATCTCTAGTCTCATACAAAATTAAAAACTCAGATGACAAAATATTTACCTACTTGTCGCGTAAAATCTATATCGACAACCGAAGTAGAAAAACCCATAACGGTTTCRTATCAACAACACATCAGTTAACTATTGTATGCGACATAATAATTCAAAACATAATAATATATTATCATATGTCTGAGCGTTTACCTTTTTTACTTACAGGTCTCTGAGATGTGCACGCAACACATTGCACACGCACATGTTCACGTCGTTTGCTATCAATAATCTTCTATGGCTGCTGTGGTACAGACTGGTCGTCGAGCATCCGACAGTCGTACTTCACAACGGGGTATGTAAATTTCTGAGCCATTGTGCATAAATTTAACAGAATATGGTGGGTAGGGTTTTCGAACCGAGCACAATAACAATATTTTTTTCCCTCCGCCGTTTTACCTTCGAATAGAAAATATTATGTTGTCACGACTACGCCCGCATATTACAACCACATATGAGATACTGCTCTGTTGTAATAACTTATAGAATAACAATATGTTTTCRAAATAATAATTTCCTATCAGTTTTTCATCAGGACTGTGTTTATTTTCATCGTACACAAGACTATACTGTGTATTTTTGATTAGCGTTGCGCTTTTATCATATTATTTAAATATACCGAAAACCTAACTTTTTTTTTTTCACTTTGGTATTATTAACTCGCCATACAGTTTTCCATAAATTTTCCATAGGTTTCTACCTAGTTTAAATATTCCAAAAAGTGTTTATTTTTCACGTTTCATATTATTTAACCGTCCAAACTTTATTAATCACGTTTACGTACTCGTAGTAGTTTATAATGTATCAGATACTATTTCTAATATTTTTTCAACAACTTCATACATGAACCAAGAACAAATATATATTATCTTTACTTGTAAGTAAACTCAACACTATTGCATGTTCATATTTGTTTCACTCGATGTAAAGAAATATTTTGTTTACAGTCGAGTTGTGAAATATGAATCTGATGGGTTCTTATAATGTGCCAATGCGTGGCTTACCCCTTTAACCTAATTTGTAAATTTGTATTTTTCACAATGAAAAACAATAATTACTTATGCAATGTTTACGGTAATGTAATTTATAGGTATAGATTTTTTGAAGTTATATATTTAGTGTCGACTGTCCATACAATGTTTTATAAAAATTAAGACACTAAGTATAGATGCTATAGCCAATAAGTATTCAATTTTTTAAATTTTAATTAAAAACTAATGTTTATCTTTATTAACCATAAGAGCAATATCATGAAGTTAATTCGTTTAGTTGACAATAAACAGGCTATAATTTTGTAGCATATAGGTACTATTAATATGTAAAAAATTAATTAGCCGACTAAAAATGTAAAGACTTAATATTCAAATATACACCGTAAAAGTACTGTATTAAATATCATATGATACTATTGTATTTTAATATTTTTCAAGGGTTAAGAATCCTACAAAAATTTCTGTCCTGTCAAGTCAAAAAACTTGAAAAATAACATGAGAGCTTTATWTATACATGTTTAGGTACGAAATGAGTCTCACAAAGACACCATCCACTAATATTTCAAATCACATTGGTTTACGTAAATGACAAATCTACCCAAGTATTTCGATGTAATGTTTATGTATATAATTCATTAAATGGCAATATAATATCTCAAGTTTTATCTCTAATTAGGTATAAGCTCCAACATTTAATTCAAGAAAAAAATCTTGTTTTCATAAACAACCCCTTATTTCTAAGAATTATATCAATTACGGACATATATTTTTAAGTCATTTATTGAATAAATTAAATTTTAAAAATTCATTTTGAGTCCGTTTCAGAATTTAAAATGTATATTTCTCATTAAATGAATGTAATGCTACTAATTGTTTCCACTGTTAGAATAGTAAAGTTAAAATATAGCATTTAGATAGACGTGTAAATCTTATCGGTGTTAAATTATTGTTAATAATATTATACCAAACCACAAGAACTTCAACAAGTATATAATTAAATACACGTATTTACTGTTTTTAGATTACTACTATTTAATTTTTAAAATTAAGTTTCAATTTATTTTGTAAAATTGTGTTAATAAATCGTTATATATTTAAAATAAATTAAAACCAAAATATTAAATACGAGTTTATGATTTTAATTATTATTTTAATAACATAGCTGTAGTCTGTAGTGTTAAAATGTATTTTCAGAATCATTATTTTTCATCCATATGAAAAAA